AGTGGGCGATATCTTTTTGCGCCAAATATGAACTCATTTGTGCCACAACTTATTTGCGCCAATACTACTTCAGTGCCACTTCTTTTTAACAAGAGTGCACACGCTGAAATGTCTCGCCTTCTTTACTAATCATTGATATTATGTTGATTGTCCTAAATATAAAGCTTTATTACAACTGTCACATAAACTTAACATTAACCAAGTAAACTAAACATTGACCAATGAACCATGAAAATGAGGTCAAGGTCAGATGAACCATGCTAGGCAGGCATGTACAGCTAAAAATTCTTCCATACAACAAATATAGTTGACCTATTGCTTATAGTTTAAGAAAAACAGACCAAAACACAAAAACTAAACACTGAGCAATGAACCTTGAAAAATGAGGTCAAGGTCAAATAAAACCTGCGTGACTGCCAAATAAATCATAAAATATTTCCATACACCAAATATAGTTGAACTATTGCATATATAGTATTAGAAAAAAAGACCAAAACTCAAAAAACTTAACTTTGACCACTGAACCATGAAAATGAGGTCAAGGTCAGATGACACCTGCCCGCTAGACATGTACACCTTACAATCATTCCATACACCAAATAAAGTAGACCTATGGCATACAGTATAGGAAAAACAGACCAAAACACAAAAACTTAACTATAACCACTGAACCATGAAAATGAGGTCAAGGTCAGATGACACCTGCCAGTTGGACATGTACACCTTACAGTCCTTCCATACACCGAATATACCAGACCTATTGCTTATAGTATCTGAGATATGGACTTGACCACCAAAACTTAACCTTGTTCACTGATCCATGAAATGAGGTTGAGGTCAAGTGAAAACTGTCTGACGGGCATGAGGACCTTGCAAGGTACGCACATACCAAATATAGTTGAACTATTGCATATAGTATTAAAAAAAAAGACCAAAACTCAAAAACTTAACTTTGACCACTGAACCATGAAAATGAGGTCAAGGTCAGATGACACCTGCTCGCTAAACATGTACATCTTACAATCATTCCATACACCAAATATAGTAGACCTATGGCATACAGTATAAGAAAAACAGACCAAAACGCAAAAACTTAACTATAACCACTGAACCATGAAAATGAGGTCAAGGTCAGATGACACCTGCCAGTTGGACATGTACACCTTACAGTCCTTCCATACACCGAATATACTAGACCTATTGCTTATAGTATCTGAGATATGGACTTGACCACCAAAACTTAACCTTGTTCACTGATCCATATAATGAGGTCGAGGTCAAGTGAAAACTGTCTGACGGGCATGAGGACCTTGCAAGGTACGCACATACCAAATATAGTTATCCTATTACTTATAATAAGAGAGAATCTAACATTACAAAAAATCTTAACTTTTTTTTCAAGTAGTCACTGAACCATGAAAATGAGGTCAAGGACATTGGACATGTGACTGACGGAAACTTCGTAACATGAGGCATCCATATACAAAGTATGAAGTATCCAGACCTTCCACCCTCTAAAATATAAAGCTTTTAAGAAGTTAGCTAACGCCGCTGCCGCCGCCGCCGCTGCCGCCGCCGGATCACTATCCCTATGTCGAGCTTTCTGCGACAAAAGTCGCAGGCTCAACAAAAACTATATGTATCATTTGTGCCAATTTTATGAACTTATTTACATTTACTTATATATCTATCAATCTCTTTTATCCAGGCTTGAGTCCGACAGTTTATCGACTGGCAGAATAAAGTCATTTGAATACAAAATATATGCTGAATTAAATTGCTCACTCATATATACATACAGTTAAAACTATAAAATGTCTATGTTCAGGCTGGTATTTATAATTTAAAATAGAAACATATTCCTTTCTGCCCACTTCTCCTCTCACTAGTTTTTTTAAAGCTTTTTCCGAGATCTCCATCTTATTTCTTCATTTTTCTTAATAATTAAATGCATGACGGATTTTGTGATCTTCTACAATGATGATAGGTTTCCCTTATTCGGACTCTATTTTATAAAACGATATACATGTATTAGACATATTTCCAAGTAAAAAACTCTTCTATTACTGAACAATTTATGTATTGGTGAGTTTTCTTAATTTTGATGAGTGTTCAGTTAATCTAAAGTGGATAGGTTAACGGTTACATGAATGATATAGGTAAAAATATACAGGTAAATGTGGCGCAATTTGATTCTATTTACTGGCGCAATTAATACCATCAGAAAAATGGAGAGTGGCGCAATAAGTACCTTTTCAAAACTGTAATGGGCTCAAATTGATTCTGCCCATTACAGTAGTGCTTCTTTATAGATTACTGTCAGTTTTATGACTAGAAAAGTGTGGCTGTTTAAGGCAAAAGGTCAAGTCTTATTGGTTGATTTTTCTGAATCACATGAATGTTTAAATGGCAAACCCACGTAGGATACCGTTTCATGCTTTGCCCAGTCGGACAGTCTGGTAAACTGAAATTTGTCCTGCAAATACCACCGTTTTGGAAGCCTTGAACTAAACTTGTAGGCTAATCAACTTTAACCAAAATTTCAAGATGTAAATAATTTTTGAAGATGGAATGTTATAGAAATTTGTTAATTTTATGAAAGAAATATTAAACATACTTCCCGTCACTTCAAGTTGGAATAAACCATCTGCCACCATGTGATCAGGACCTTCAGGCCTAGGTGAACAAGATTTACCTAAAATAAATACAAATCATTCTGAAAACAGATAATTATGTGGAAAAAAGGGTCAATTTAAATTGAAAGGTTAGTTACTTAACAAAAATTATTGTCTGATTTATGCAACACAAAAGTTCAGGTGTCAGACCATTAACAAAACAAATACTGTCTCTGGACATGGGTCTCTACATGCAGTCTATTGAAATAAAATGTGTAACCAAGCATAACTGGTCATTCCCTTTCATTGAAGCCAAAGAACACTTTTACAATTGTCCTTGTACAAGCAGTGTTGTAAATGTTAAAGTGTTTACAAAAAGGGAAGTGACTTTTGCGGCAGATGAAACAACTGCTGAAGGTGTAATACCACCATTGAATTTCCCTTATTAGTTTTTGTTAAATTTGCACTTTTCAAAAAATTGTTTCAAGTAAAGAAATACTTGGCATGAGCATTATTCTGTCCAGTACTATAAACAAAATTTCACATAACATTTCATTCCATATATATAAGAAAATAACCATTACTGGAAGTTAACCAATCAAATTTTCAACTCTTATGAAACTGTCAGCTACTGCTCACTGAAGATACCCAAGCCGCAATTGGATAATTTTAATAGTGGAAAAATATGCGAGTTTTCGGTAAAAAGTAAGTTGTTGAGTGATGAATCTGAAAACGCATCACAAGGTATAGCTGACTCATATAAACCCTGAAACCAAGTTTCAGAAATCCTTGTAATGTAGTAATGTAGTTCCTGAGAAAAATGCGGCGTAAATTTTCAACTTGGGTGTCATGACTTGTGTAAAATGATGTCAGTGTTCGGTAAAAAGGAAGTTGTTGGGAGATGAATCTGAAAATGCATCACATGGTATAGCTGACTCATATAAACCCTGAAACCAAATTTCAGAAATCTTTGTATTGTAGTTCCTGAGAAAAAATGAAAAAAATTTCAACTTGGATGTCATGTGTAAAATGATGTCAGTGTTCGGTAAAAAGGAAGTGGTTGAGGGATGAATCTGAAAACGCATCACACTGTGTAGCTGACTCATATAAACCCTGAAACCAAAGGACAAGGTACACTAAGGGCCTTATATGGTCCCCTTTTTTGTCACAAAATCATTTTCATGACATAAATGAACTGAGCATCAGAAAAGATTTCTATGTATCTGTTCTTCAGTAGCACATGTGCGTATTTTATCTTCATGAAAACAGAAACCTGATTTTGGGTCGCTTAAAGTGTGTTGATAGCGTCAAAATATAGAAATTGTAGTTGATTTTTGGACTGCAATCCTTCGTTTTAAAAGGCCTCCGCCAACGTGAGCCACAGTAATAATTAGTGATAAAGATGGTATACAAACAGGGTTTCCCAAATAAGAAAAGAAATAATTACACCTTAAAATCCCTAAAACTTAACATGATCAAGCTACAGACCTAATATAAAATCATTCCTTTCAATAGTTTTGACCGAATTTGACCATAACTTTCCTTGCACATGTGTTTTATAAATTTTCTAAATATCTGGAAACAGGAAGTGGCTTAACTACAAATGTCAAAGGAGTATGTTCAATAACACCCTAAAACGATCCCTATTTCTAGCTACAATTATAAATTAGGATTTAATGACCAATATCACAATGAATCATAGCTAATACAATGACTATATAGAAAATATGTCTTTTTGTTGAAAATTTACGTACTTGCTTTCTATTCATGATGTCACAAATATCACTCATTTTGATTTTGACCAAAAATTCAATGAAAACGGGTCAATTTCCAATGATTTTTTGGACAGGAAACATAAAGCTCATGCCTCAACAAAAAAGCTTTTTAACAAAATATTTGTTATCACATTTTACATATCTGACTTGAATATTAAGTTTGTCGACGCCTGTGCTCTAAGTTTCCTAGGCCATAATTTGGTTGAAATTTTGACAATTTTGTTAAATTTAGCAAAAATCTCTATTTTGATCTTTACAGGATGTAAAAATCAACGCTTTTAAACTAGAACTTTAACAAAAAAGTTCTATTCAACTTTCTCACGTGTCTTTTTATCACTTTAAAACATTTATTGTCTTGAAACATTGAACATAATAATCGGGGCCAAATATGACCCTTACCAAACTTACTTCTTTGCTAACACGGTAAAAAATAACATTATCAGGCTGCAGACCAAATATAACCTTATTTCCATGGATAGATTGCTAAGAAAAACTTTCACAATTGGCAATGCAGGTAAAAAGTTCTAAATGACTTAAATGCGGACTTTTTAATATGAACTATGTTCATAATTTCACATTATATGCAAATTTGTTAATATAAAAAACAATATTCAACTGTAAACTTTTATTGTATTCAACAGTGGTCTGTTTTGCTGCTTTTAAAGCAACACCAGTAGGCACATAGTCAAAACAACTGCTAGTTTGGTTACATTTACTTGATAACAAGGCACACAATATATCATTGTCGAGTTCTGATCAGAATTCAGGGTAAATTTCTTTATAATTGAAAATGATCTCTCACAGTCAGAATTGATATTTGGATGAACTATAATAGCTTCATGAAGCTTTGAAAGAGTGTCATAATGTTTTTTTTTGCCATCTAAAATGTCATCTATGATCTCTGCCATTGCTCCCAACAAACTATACAATATATGTTGCTATTGCCTGGTCAAAGCTGGGTAGTTCATCAGAAGACAGCTAATACTATGAGAACTGATCCAACAGTTCCGTGATATTTCCATCCCTTATGGCCTGTGGAAATCTGTTGGCTACATTTTAAACTGAAAAAGAAAAATATTTTATAATTGTTAAATGCTTAATCAAATAGCTATGTATTTTAGTTCTCCTCTCATATGTATTGTTATGATTGCAACATAGAGTGCACAATGCGTTACTCATCCCTCAATGATTTAAAATCGAACTCCCAAATATAATTTATAAATCTTGGTACGTACACATCGTTTTCGCTTAGAAATCGGCTCTATAGACGACGGCACAGGTCCTGAAAGCTACCTCTTTCTGTGGACATTTCCCCTAAGTGAATTTGAAAGAAAGAAAGTCCCAAAATTGTAAAAACTAATCACAAACTACTTACCTTGAGAGCTTTTGCTGTTCGTCCATATAGAAAAATAAACAATGGCCAGATAACAATTACTTAGCCTGGGATCCTGGCCAACTGTTTGACATCGACGAAGTATTAGATTTGGTCAGGATGCCAGGCTAAACAATTACTTCGAAATTTCGGTATTTATCGTGTTATAATGAAAAAACCCGAGAATCGCGATATCACTAACAACCTAAAAATCATAACGAAAAAGCGTGTAATTGCGTGTAAAGTGGTGAAAAGCGTGTACACACCATGTGATAAAATCCTCACGTGTAAACCGTTGAAAAAGCGTGTATTACACGCGAATATCATGTCAGTTGGCAACTATGGTCATAAGGAGTATTCATGCCATGTTTTATTCCATTCCATTCAGTGGTTCTTTAAAAGAAGACATTTGTATGTATTTCCCATAGGGTCCTATGTTAAACTAAGTCCCTCTCTGGCGTCCATCTTGGATGATGGATCAGTTTCAAAGTAATAACACTTGGTCAGCACCTGAAAAGGAACATTTTTGCCATGTTTGGTTCCATTCCATTCCTTGTTCTCTTAAAGAAGACATTTGTATGTATTATCCATAGGGTCGATGTTAAACAAAGTACCCTACTGGTGGCCATCTTGGAAGATGGATCAGCTACAAAGTAACAACACTTGGTCAGCACCTCATAAGGAATATTCATGCCATGTTTGGTTTCATTCCATTCAGTGGATCTATAAAAGAAGACATTTGTATGTATTGTCCATATGGTCCTATGTTAAACAAAGTCCCACCCTGGTGGCCATATTGGATGTTTGATCGCCTACAATGTAACAACACTTGGTCAGCACATCATAAGGAATATTCATGCAATGTTTGGTTTCATTCCATTCAGTGGTTCTCTAGAAGAAGTTCAAAATATAAAAAGTTATCAACGACAACGAAGATGGACAATTACAACAGACAAGGACAGACAACAGGTGCTAAGTAATGAGAAAAGCTCACTTGGCCTTTTAGACCAGGTGAGCTAAAAACCAAGCCATAATTATGAAAAAATAATAAAGTTACACATTATTTGATATATGCTCTTATAAGCAGACTTCATAAGAACCAACTCCGACCTGTTGGTCCTAACGTTGACAAAATTTAAAGACGTCTGCCAATTTCACAATTGAGCCTGTCTGTTTGTACGACTGCTATCATACAAAAGGCCTTTTGGGTCACTGGGGTTACTTCTACCAACATTTTGTAGTTTGTCAAATCATTGGACACTTGTTTTTTGTTTTACTTTTACTTATTGAGGTCAGAAATCATATTACTTAAATAAGGATGATTGTGTCTGACAAAACTTGTTATAAGGATCTATATTTCAATGATGTTCTCTAAACATTTAAACTTTTTAGCAAAACATATTTAACTGAAAAATAAAACGAAAATTTCATGTGAATAAATTTTGAAAATGGTATATTGATAAAATTTGTTGATTTTATTATAAGAAATATTAAACATACTTTTTGTCTCTTCAGGTTGGATTAAACCATCTGCCACCATGAGATCAGGACCTTCAGGTGAACAAGATTTACCTAAAATAAATACAAATCATTCTGAAAACAGATAATTATGTGTAAAAAGGGTTAATTTAAAGTGAAATTTAAAACAAATTTAAATTGAAGGTTATTGACTAAACAAAAATTATTGTCTGATCAATGTAAAAGTTCAGGTGTCGGACCATTAACAAAACAAATACTCAGTCTGGACCTGGGTCTCTACGTGCAATCAATTGAAATAACATGTGAGCCAAACTGATCATTCCCTTTCATTGAACAATGAGTAATGTGAAATTTTCAACAGTCTGCAAAAAGGAAGTGGCTTACATGACAGGTAAAAAAAAATTGCTGAAACACTCAAGTTCAACATTATCAAGCTACAGAGTTTTGACCAAATTTGACAAAAAAATTTCCCTTGTTTCTAGCTTATTGTACTCTATAGTCCAACCCTATCTGGCAGGTTCAATTTTGGAGAATAAAACTGCTGACTATACAAGCCTGAATTCGTTGGTGGTGCTAAAAACTTTGCCTCTACGCATTTTTCACAGGGTCTTACCCTTTTGATTTGGCAGTCCTACTACAAATCTTCCTCCTATAAGACAATACACAAAAAATCAATTAGTTTTCAATTCTATAATTTTTTAATTATATGATGAATGACAGCTGAAAGATTTACTTGTTGACAAAATATTTTTGTATACATAATAATTAGATATTTGGGCCATCTTTTAGTCCTCCTTTTAATATGTATACTATCTGACACTGAATAATTGGTGTAAATGAAGAAATGTATATGGAAAGGGTTGGTGTTTAATGTCTAGTGGAAAACATAACATGCATATGGGATGAAAACATGTAAATGTGAATCACTGCTTAGAACAAGATAGACATGCTGAGTCAAAATTTCAACAATAGTATTTCCCAAACTACCAGTCAACATGAAATATGCAACCCAACCCAGAACATTTCAATTAATTGGTTTGACACAGATCAGGATAGAACCCAAATCCTCCCACACATGCTAGGCAAACTGCCACCACAAGACTATTCAGGCAGTCCCCAAGGAAAGGCTCTTCATTTTTATGGATGGCAGAGATGACAAAATATCACACAGTACAAAGTTAGTAGAACTTTCCTAATCTATTAAAAGCTAGATTGAAAACTGTGAAGTCATGCATTAGATAAACCATAAAAGTGAATTTTCACTTGAACTTGCATTGGTCTATAGTATGTTGTGAATACTGATTTTATTTCTAACCGTACTTTAACTGAATGGTCTCAGAACTTTGAACATTCTATTGAAAGGTAAACCATTTTACATACCAAAAATTAATACTTACTTTTCAGTTCTGATATTGAAAACTTTTTCAAACTGACATAACACTTCTTTGTCATCTGAAAATATTATTTTTGAAATTATTTCCAGTCTGAATAAGGTATATAATTGGTTAACTGGCAAATTCCATTAAACTTAGTTTAAGCATACATATCCATAAACCAATCTTACGACTAAGGCCATCCAAAATGTGTTTGTGCCTGGACATAAATTTTCTTGAAAATAGGCCTCATAAGCAACATAATTTTCAAGAAATCTTATATAAGACTGATTTTTAGGCTTTTCAGTCAAAACGTTTTTATTGCAGACTCTTTACACAGAATATAAATAAAACAAGAATGTATCCATAGTACATGGATGCCACACTCGCACTATCATTTTCAATTTTCAGTGGACCATGAAATTGGGGTCAAGACTCTAATTTGGCATTAAAATTAGAAAGATCATATCATAGAGAACATGTGTACTAAGTTTCAAGTTGATTGGACTCCAACTTCATCAAAAACTACCATGACCAAAAACTTGAACCAAAAACTTTAACCTGACACGTGACAGACGGATGGACGAAAGAATGAACGAACTGAGTGAGGAAAGGATGAACGAAAGGACACAGACCAAAAAACATAATGCCCCTAAGTGGAGAATAACAAAATAAGAGGTACACATCAATAACATAGCAATACATCTGCACAAGCAAAAACATTTATAAGATATAGACTGAGAAAATCCTTATGATCTTCATTTATGATGTCTTTTATTTTGAATGATTTAGTTTTCATTTTTTAACATCTTAATTTTGATTATCTGATTGTTGTGTTTTTGTTTCTTAACCAATAAACACAACAACTAATCCTATATATATATTAATGTTTTTGTCCAATTAGTCAAAATGATATGCAAGGCCAGATTCAATTCACCTCAACATGGTCAGTACTTCAGCTTGCTGTCAGTAGTTCAAAGTCTTCTTTGACACAATATTTTTCAAACAAGTGTATTTCTTGTACTTTTGGTTTTACTTGAAATGTACCATTTCTTATTCAACAGTTCCAAATTATAAAGGACAGCTGATACTCAGATCTCAAAAAGTTAGGTAGTTGATCATGTACCAAACGTTTGTCTTATGAATGTCTATAAACCAAATCCCTGTTACTTGTTGTCTTTTGTTATCTAAATAACTTTGTCATTGAGGGAATTTTATACACATTGTTGTCAATTTAATGGAATTTTATGCAACTGTCATACAAGTAAGAGGTTTAGCTAGCTATAAAACCAGGTTTAATCCATTATTTTTTACATGAGAAAATGCCTGTACCAAAGTCAGGAATATAACAGTTATTTTCCATTCCTTTGATGTGTTTGAGCTTTTGATTTTGCCATTTGATAAGGGACTTTCCTTTTTGAATTTTCCTTGGAGTTTGGTATTTTTGTTACATACTTTTTGTTATGGAAGATTAATTTTAACTTTATAAAAGTTGTTGTCTTACTTGAAGTTTCGAAGATTGCTCATGGACAGTACACAAAGAGTCTTCCAACATGTTTGGAGTTCTTGGTTCACCTATTTAATTCAAATATAGAATTGTAAGCATATGATATTGCAAATGTTTAAAGGCAATCTGTAAATTTAGGCATAACAGAAGGCAAAACTATTACACTCTACTGGTAAATATTATGTGTCACTGACGATGACTATATATAGCATGTAAAAAAAAAGTAAAAACTATAACCTACAAGATAAAGACTATCATAGCAACATTGCATCCATCTGCCAATGAAAATTACATAATACAGATATTCACAATATAGAGAATTCTGACTTGAAATCTAGAAGTGAATTTAAATATTATAGTCAAATTAGAAATTATACAATCAGGAAAAGAACTATTTTAGCAGCAAATCATTTTGCCCTTTTTGAAAGGACAAGAAGTGACCTCTTACAGAAAGCACATATATATTTTTTTTTTCTTTTTTAAAGGTTCCACCTAAATAATCCTCATTGCTCATAGTCTATAAGGGTGTGATAAACTCAGATTAACTCATAACATGAAAACATGCAGAGAAAATTTACAACAGATAGATCTCAACTAGATTAACATTTTTACCCCATGTCAGATTTACTCTAAATGCTTTAATTTCAGATATGTAAGCCAAAAACTGTATTTCACCCTTATATTCTATTTTTATGGGCCATGTTGATAGGCAGGCAGGGTCATCGGACACATTTTTTCAACTAAATACCCTAATGATTAATGTGGCCAAGTTTGGTTAAATTTGGCCCAGTAGTTACAGAGGAGAAGATTTTTGTAAAAGTTAATGGACGACGGACGACGACGGATGTCAAGTGATGAGAAAAGCTCACAATGGGCCAGATGAGCTAATAAATCGTGGTACTATCATATAGAATCATCAAAATATCTAAATGAACAGCAGACCGGAAATGATTTCCAGTATTCACTTCATCCTACAATAGCCTTTTCTTTATACTATAATCAGGATAATGGTAGGTTTCTTAATGACTTTAAATCATCTGAAAAGGAACACAGTAGTCCATTTTATTATAATTGCATGAATTTAAAGTGAGATTTTAACAGAGAGCGCCTAGTTTTCTTCTTCTTATTCTTCATAATTAAGGTATGAAATATTCCATCGACATCTGATGACCACATACTGTTGCATATGTGGACTATATATAAAATCTACCCCAATTTAAACAGAAAATAAATATTTATAGTACAATGAAAATAACAACCTTGATACTATAAACATTCTAACTTTATGTTATTAAATAATAGTACAGAGAACAGCAAGAGGGAGCTTTTGTCTGACGTTATTAACTGATGGTGCCTGAACAAGTACCACAGGAGCTGATTCCACTCACAGTGACACAATGCAAATGATTAGAAGGGACCATCAGAGAAATATGGGGAATAATGAAATCAAAGTTATTTGTTAATTTGTTCATATTCAAACACTTCTTATTTGACTCAATTTCAAATTTAGAATTTTGTGGAAGACATTTATTATGGATTGCCATGTCCAAGGATAAAAAGCCTTTTTTTAAATGTTTTTCGTTAAGCAATTGCTGTATCATTGCTAGGCTGTTATAAGCATCTAGTACACTAAATCTAAGGGTCACCATTCATTTGTCCCGTAATTAGGCTTGTATAGTTTGCACTGGTACATTATCCGAACCCCCCTTCTCGCCATGAAATTTCAGGTAAAACAAGTGAAACTGTGAGCTACTGCTCACTGATGATACCCCCGCCCAAATACTTGACGGTAAACAGGAAGTTGTTGAGTGATGAATCTGAAAACACATCACATGGTATAGCTGATTTATATAAACCCTGAAACTAAATTTCAGAAATCCTTGTAATGTAGTTCCTGAGAAAAATTTGACGAACATTTTTCAACTTGGATGTCATTTGTACAATGATGTAAGTGTTCTGTAAATAGGAAGTTGTTGAGTGATGAATCTGAAAACGCATCACACGGTATAGCTGACTTATACAAACCCTGAAACCAACTTTCTGAAATCCTTGTAATGTCGTTCCTTAGAAAAATGAGACGAAAAATTATTCATGGGACGGACGGACGGACTGACGGATGGATGGATGGACTGACTGATGGACGGACGGATGGACAGACAGAGGTAAAACAGTATACCCCCACTTTTTTAAACCTGGGTATAAACTCTGAACTGTTACAAAATGTCTGATGAAACTCCAGTAATTTCAAATCTTGTGTGGTAATTTGTGGTATCGTTTTCCATCATCAAACAGAAGTTGAAACTGCTTGTAAATGGTTCTAGAACACTTCACAATTGTCATGATTGTTAAAATAAGTCAATATCACACAAAAAGCAATTTAGAAACTTGTGTATATTTAAACCAGAAGTTTGAATAGCTCATGTAAAAGAAAATAAATACGGTGAGAGTGTACGGAAAAATCTGTATTTAATAGATATCACTAGAATACGACTTTAAAAGTAAAACAGTTCCATTCTTGTGTAAAACAATGTTTAATATTTATATAACACTGATGTTTGAAGGATTTTAAGCTAATACAAAACACAGATTCCAGTTTATTTTAAGCAATGCAGTGAAAGAAACAAGAAATTTGTAGTGAAGCATTTAGTTTTTAAATTTATCAGTTTTAACTTGATATTGAATGAAAATAACATATTAATATGGATAAGGTAAATTATTAGTTTTGAAAATGATAATAGCGCCCTCTACAATAATAATAATAAACATGGCAGAACGTAAACAAACCATCTCGCGAAATAGAATTTTTCTATTATTTCTTGCTTATTGCACTCTATGGTTCGCACCCCTGTATGGCAGGTTCATTTTTTGGAGAATAAAACTGTGGACTATACAAGCCTTTATTCGGAAGCTTTGAATTCTTCTTAAACAAACAATATTATTTTGTTTTGTTCTAATTTTGTACTAATAAAGCAATTAATATGTGATAATCTTTGTATCTAATAAAAACTGTTGCTAGGCAACCTTTCTTTTAACAGGAGCACAATAGTTTTTTTTCTTCAAGTAACTTAGGGCATTGACCATCAATGATATAAACATTAACTTACTTGGAGAGGGCTAAAAGTGACCCTAATCATACCTTGTCCTTTACTGATTGACAATTAGTAATGGCACACAAACTATTATGCAATAAATATGTCATAATTAAGGATCATTTAAGCCATGGTTTAATGTAGATACATATTTATTTAGTCCATGAATCAGAATCATGTGCATTCGTATCAAGAAATTTTCAAAAAATCATGAGTTTTGGGATAATATAAGTCTCCAAGAATATTGCTTTACATAGCAAATTAGACAAGACTGCCTTAAATGCAAACCATTATTCCCGTTGGGACAGTAGGCGACTATTAAATTATGGACAACAGAAAACAAATAAAGACAAATTTAGCTGAATGATAGATACCTTTATCATGTGAAGCTTTAACTGTCTTCAAGCTATTCTTGTCAGACTGGAAAAGAAAAATCAATTCAATGTAGCCTACAAGAATCTTGCATCACTTATCAGGCATCTATACAATTCACAACTACATATTTTTTCTCTTCCCCATAAATAACATGAGCCCGTTATTCAGTTGTTGTCTTTGGTTACTGTTTATTATATTTGTTGTTATTCATTTTTTTAGGATAAATCATGCTGTTGCATGGTAATCTCGTTTGAATGTTTACATTTTTATTTGTCTTACTATAAGGTATGCATGGATTTCGCTCAATGTTGATTGCAGTAATATGAGTAAACATGACCTACAATTTCTTAAATCCAAGTCTTTTGGTTCCAGTGGATAGTTGTCTCAATGGCAATCAAACAATGTCTCCTTATTTTCATACAATTGCTTTCGAAATGGGACATTAAAAAAAACCATAAAAACACAACAATTTTTTTTATAAATTCCCCCTAAATGATGCTTCAGATAAAATCAAGTCTCTTTGTTTCTTGCTTTAATATGTGTAGTATTGTGAATCTTTGAGGACAGTTTTTTGTGGATTTTGTGGGTACAGATGAATAGTTAATTCAAATGTTCAACAAAGTATAAATTTCTCTTAGGATTGTATGCAAACTTTAAAGATTATCCCAAAGTCTGCATCAGCAGAGGAAAAATTTAGCATAACTAACAAAATATGAAAAATGTAAATCATAATGCAATTGGCCTGGTTGAGCAATTTTCATCAATAAAGCCATTTCTTAATCAATCAAGGACTATTACATCAGATCAACAACAGTGATAAACGCACAGATATGTCTCGCTTTTTTGTTATTTTTGTTGTAAAATGCAAATGTTGAAATCAAAATAGCAATACCTTAACATGTAAGATATGCAAAATATTCAGAGTCAATGAAAAAAGGTACAGGGCCAAACAATCTCCATGGAAATGAGATGTGTCAATGCTAATACAAGTGCATACCATATTATTGACCTTCCACTAGTGGTTCCCCATAAACTGACCTAATCACAAACTAATACATGCAAACTAACCAAAAGTTTCAAAGTCAATAGACCATGATTGAGGGGCGTGGTCAAATAATCTCCATGGAAATGAGGTGATGTGCCAATTCTAATACAACTACAAACCAAATATCATTAACCTACCACCATTGGTTCCCCATAAACTGACCTAATCACAAACTAATATGTGTAAACTAAGCAAATGTTTCAAAGACAACAGACCATGACTGAGGGGGCTGGGCCAAATAATAGACAAAGAAATGAGATGTGACAATGCTAATACAACTGCACACCAAATATCATTGACCTACCACCAGTTGTTCTACATAAACTGACCTAATCACAAACTAAAACATTGCTGATGCCACCGATGAAAGCGCTGTATGAAACAGCATACCAGGTCTTGCTATAAGTCTTGCTTTTTTACTACATCATGTACATTAAGGTGATACACACATTATTAAAATGGAACTTGACCACCATTTTCTAATCAGTAACAACATAAAAAAAAATTTAATCATTGATTGATGTTTTATCAAGTGATCATTATCATAAACAGCTGGAGCAACCTGGCCAAAAAACCTGCTGACACTGCTGTAAATGTATTACCCCAAATAAATGACCAGTGCTGTACATGTATTACCCCAAATTAATGACCAGTGCTGTACATGTATTACCCCAAATTAATAACCAGTGCTGTACATGTATGACCCCAAATTAATAACCAGTGCTGTATGTGTATTGCCACAAATTAATAACCAGTGCTATACATGTATTACCACAAATTAATAACCAGTGCTGTACATGTATTACCCCAAATTAATAACTAGTGCTGTACATGTATGACCTCATATTAATAACCAGTGCTGTACATGTATTACCCCAAATTAATACCTAGTGCTGTACATGTATGACCCCAAATTAATAACCAGTGCTGTACATGTATGACCCCAAATTAATAACCAGTGCTGTACATGTATTACCCCAAATTAATAACTAGTGCTGTACATGTATGACCCCAAATTAATAACCAGTGCTGTACATGTTTTACCCCAAATTAATACCTAGTGCTGTACATGTATGACCCCAAATTAATAACCAGTGCTGTACATGTATGACCCCAAATTAATAACCAGTGCTGTACGTGTATTGCCACAAATTAATAACCAGTGCTGTACATGTATTACCCCAAATTAATAACCAGTGCTGTACATGTATTACCCCAAATTAATAACTAGTGCTGTACATGTATGACCCCCAAATTAATAACCTGTGCTGTACATGTATTACCCCAAATTAATAACCAGTTTTTAGTTTGTTTGAAAACCAAATAAATTTGACAAGGCCTCTTTTAAACATATAAATGGTATTAGAAAAAATCAAAATGGATCATCAACAATAACTCATATCATAATATAATTCAAATAAATTCAGTCATTTAAAATGTTAGAAAAATGTTTAAAAATCAAGCTTACATTTGTTGTTTTGGACTTTTTTCTCCATGGCAGGTTTTTAGATTGATCCCCATAATCGTAGCGTAACTCCTCTCCCCTGACTATTTCTTTGAGGGCAAATAATGCCAAATGGGGATTACCATCCACATGAATACGCCTCATAATAGAATTTTTTTCTCTGCCAACGCCATCATTGACATACCTGCCCATTAATTTTGAATTTGTAGCATCAATGCTGAAAAATGAAATTTCACAATAAACATTCATTGTCAACGATCAATTAGCAGTTTTGTAAAGCCTGTCATGGCATATTATACAATATTGTACAATTAGTAGTAAATTGATCAAAATATACAAGAGCTAGTACCGGACATGAAAAATACCTGTGTCAATGCAGATGTTAGCATCCATATGTCACCCTACAGCCTTCAACAATGACCAAAACCCAAAACATGACAAAAAATGTAAAAAATATCAAAAGAATCAACTGTTGACACAGATATGTGTCTCACCTTTTTGAAATTTTGATAGTATAATAAAAATATTGAAATTAAAATGTAAATATCATGTACCCTATGCAAAACAATCAAATTCAATGAACCATGGTTGAAAGTGCTGGTGCAAACTATTCAAATACATGTAATTCAAGCAAATGTTTTAAAGCCATTAGACAATAACTGAGGGGTATTGAGCCAAATATTCACCATTAATATTTGATGTGCCAATGCTTATACATCTGTATACCAAATATCAATAACTTACATCAAGTGGTTCCCCTTAAACTGACCTAATCATATCATAGTATCAAAGAAACAGACTTAACCAGAAAAAACTATAAACATTGACCAATGAACCATGAAAATGAAGTCAAGATCAGAGAATCCTACCAAACAGACAGACACCATGTCCTTTTTTCCATATGTACACCTTACAATCATTACATACACCAAATATAGTTGACCTATTGCTTATTCTTGTATCTGAGATTAGGACCAAATTTCAGAAACTTAACATTGACCAATGCTACAGTTGACACAAAAAAAAATGATCATGCTGCACAGAATGTTTTTGAAACAATGGAGAACTAGACATCATTGAGATGGGAGCCATCTTTGTGGTCCCCGCTGTAAATAACCTGTGGTAACAAATTTGTATCTTTACCAAAGGACATGGGGTTGTGAACTGAAACCAAAGTTTTTGAGCTTGACCTTTGACCTAGGAAGTTGTAAATACATTATGACACACCCTCTGGTAGTGGTAAATATACATGTCAAGTATAAACTTTGAAATCATAACGGTTGTCAAGATATAGAGCGGACACGATCTTTACCATAGGACATGGGGTTGTCAACTGAAACCAAAGTTTTTGACCTTGACCTTTGACCTTGGAAGTTGTACATACATTATGACACACCTTCTAGTGTTGGTTAATATATATGTCAAGTATCTATAATATTATATGAGAAGACCTCATTTTGTGTGTTGCTTTCCAAGATAAATTAATCATCATGCCTCTGTGTCCCATAGGTATCATGCATAGTCGTGTTTGTCATCCTCGCTTTTCATTATTCAGTTTGGGTTATTTTTGGAGGAAAAACGAAAATAAAGGCATTCGGATATTGTGTCCGTCATCCGACGGACTTTTAAGTCATAGACAAGACCTCCTTTTAGGACTGTTTTAACATTACACATAATTTTCATAAGTACTTGGGGACAGGACAATTATTTATGTGTTTTTCTGTATACTATGATCATACATATACTATAAATAAAGTGTATTTGCTATTTACTATCATTTATATTATATAGAATCTCTATATTATGTACAAGTGACCGCCTTGCATAGTAAACTTGGAATTGAATGATAGTAAATAGCAAATATAATTTACTTATAGTACATGTTTGTTCATAGTATAAAGAAAAACGTGAAAATAATTGAAATTAATAGAAAAAAATAACGGACTGTGGAAAAAAGGGAAGGGCTAAAAACTCATCCTACAACAGTTTACATAATTTCAACAATGCTCTAAATGCCTGCAATTTCGCGGGTGTGTTCTAGTAAACTTTGAAATCATAACGGTTCTAAAGATATAGAGCAGACACAGTCTGCGCCATAGGACATGGGGTTATCAACTGAAACCAAAGTTTTTGACCTTGAACTTTGACCTAGGAAGTTGTACAAACATAATGACACTCCCTCTGGTGTTGGTTAACATACATGTCAAGTATAAAGTATGAAAGTACATGTATGAAGTTTCTCTAGACATAGAGCGGACACAATTTGTTAGGTGTGGACACTGGACAAACAGACAGAAAGATGGATGGACTGACTGACTGATCACTATAGGGCAACCCGCCACTAGGCGGAGCCCTAATGATCTTTACAAATTACTACTGTGTAGCATCATCACCTGATATAGGCACTCCAGAAGCAGTTGAAAAAACAAATGGGTAGTCAGGACAAGGTCAAATTCTTCTCATTTTCATAATATTCTACGTTTTGCTGACAAGTAAAGTTTTCTGATACTGATTCCTAATACATGTAACATAGCCATTATTTGGGTCTGATTATGATCCTTTAATGACTTTTTCTCTCTCAAATCTTCAAAATCAGAACTGGTGGTACCTGTTCAAAGAAGCATGTAACAAGTTGAAACTCATTTAAACACATTTATCCTTCAACTATTCATTTGAGGTATTTGTAGAACAAAGTTATATTATATTTAAGCTTGAACAATATTGTGACATAATTAGTTTTTATCTATTGTTTTCTGAGAATTTCATGTAAATGAAGTGAATAAATTGTACAGCAAAATGCTTTTTTTTCATCTTTTGCAAAGTTCATATCCTCTTACATTTTTTTTATTCTTGAACATGCATGAAATATTTGCCACTAGACATTAAGCTACCAAAAATCAATCAATTATACAATTCAATAATATCATGTGCACAACTAGTACTGTAATAGTTGTTCAATAATTCTGTGAAGTTTAAGGGATCTAAATTTAAAATTGAAGGCAGAATTGTTTACACAAAACAGATCCCTCTTTTGTTAATTTTGCCAAAAATTATAACCAAGTTTGGAAAAAGAGAAAAAATTCCTTTAACAATTCCATAATAGCAAGTGTACAATATTTCCGTCAAGTTTCGATTGCTACACTTTATATTGCTAAATCAACACCGAAAGGGTACTGTCACCTGCATTTGTAAAGATGATTACTGTAAGATCTAAATAATCACTTATTAATTGTGATGTACATGTGAGTATGTTAAAATTGTGTAGACATTTTAAATACACAAAATGTTGTTAAAAAGTAAATGTCAATATTTCAAACCCTAGCAAATTTTTATAAAAAGGAAAAAAAGATCTCTCTTACCCCTCCCCCTGAAATTACAATCTGAATAATGAATTAAAATGTTTTCTCACAAAATATGCTTAGAATAATCCTGAAAAGTCACAACATCATCATTTTGAAACCAAAAAAATGCAGCTTTCTTACCTCAGCTTCTGATCCTCATTGTCTCTAAAAAAGAAAACATAACATCCATGGCCTTTTCTGACATGGCTGTCAAGTCTCCTGTCTCCTTTTTCACTGGACATCAACTTGCCTTCATACTCAAGTAGAAATTCTCCCTTCATAAAAGCTCTTGTTGTAAAGACCCCTTTTCCTGAAATGAAAAAAAATTGCTTATATCTACTTAATACAATAAAATGCTTCGCTGATTGCAGCCTGATATGACTGCAGAAGTCGAAACCTGAACAGCTGGGGCAAGTTTGGACATAAAATTCAAGCTTGATACTGTCTGTTGGATTGTGATCAAATTTTTGACATAAAATAGGTTTCTGACACAAAATAGATGTGGTCAAAGATCTTAAAAATCTATTACGCAATACTGTGCTATTGGGTAATATTGTTCAATTGAAGATTTCTTCTTGAAACTTTTCAAAAATTTGAAATTCAAAAATTTTGGAGAAAAAAAATATGAACCCCCCACCCCCCAAAAAAAAAATTTGGGAAAAAAAAAATACCCCAAACTTTTTGACCCCCCTTGGAGTAATTACCCCCAAACTCAATCCCAGCCTTCCATTTGAGTTATGGCACCTTATAGTACAACTTTAGAGAGATCCATACATTTAAACACAAGTTATTGTCTGGAAACTAGAAAAATGCTTGTTTTTGGTCACTTTTTGGCCTCTTAATTCCTACATGTTTGGGGCAATTACCCTCAAACTCAATCCCAGCCTTCCCTTTGTGATATGGAACCTTGTGGTATAATTTCAGAGAGATCCATACACTTACACACAAGTTATTGTCCAGAAACTACAAAAATGCTTGTTTTTTTGCCCCTTTTTAGCCCCCAACTCCTAAATTGTTGGTACCATAACCCCTAAAATCAATCCCAACCTTCCTTTTGTGGTATTTAACCTTCTTGTAAAATTTCATAGAGATCCATTCACTTAAACTAAAGTTATTGTCCAGAAACCAAATGTGTGTCTAGACGACCACGACGACAACCACATCATAGCATTATACAAACCCAAAAATTTTTTTGCTGTCGTATAAAAACTGAAATATTCATGTAGTCTGGTAGTTCCTTCTATATCTAATTATGATATCAGAAAGTGAATAAAACTAAAGGCTGTAAAGGGTATTTGTTGCTCACAGAGGTCTATGTGCATCTTCCACAATGGGGACAAAAAAGTGTAAAAAAAATTATCATTTAAAGGGAAATAACTCCAATAAAGAGTGATCCGATAATTTCAGGCATGTGAATTATTTGTAGCTCTAGTCTTGCTGATCAATTTTGCTATCCAATTTTCTCTCTATCTACTAGTCTTTTTAAGATTATCAGTCAGGGGCATTACTTAAACAAGTAATTTTTTTTAGTTACTTACATCGGTAATTTTTGTTTTTAAAAATTATTTAATTACTTAATAGAGTTATTTTAAATTTCAAAGAAGCATGGACTAAATGTAGTTTTCATGAATTTTTACATCATTTTATATCATAAAATGATGAATTTATTAGATTTTAGAGGAGTATAGAGATAAAGGGTTACTTTAAAAATAATGACAAAAATATTACTTGAATAAGTTATTTTATACATCTTTGAAAGAATTCGTAATAACACTTATTTACTTAGGAGCAAATGTAAGTGTTTTTGGTTACAAATTATAAATAACTTCAAGTCTTAATTAATTCACAAGTTTCTATCTATTTATATCTGTTTATCTTCAAGATTTTTGAGGAAAATGATATTTTAATAGTCCCAAGAGACCAATCTTTGACCCAAAAGCGGTGATATGAAAGATAAGTGCGTCAGAAAGGCAATTAGTGTTTCAGAAAGATTAGATTTTACATGTCATGGGAAAAATAACCAGATGACCGTGAAAATTTGTTAAAGCTAGTAAAATCTGTATAGTTGGACACCTATAAAAATAATATTTAGAAAAGTTACTTATATAAGTAATATCTAAAATAGCCTCGTTTTCAACATTACTTGTATAGGTAATTTTAAATGTTACTTGTTTAAGTAATGCCCCTGACTGATTATAGGAAAAAATGAACAAAAATTGGTAATAATTCCTATAAGTCATCTGACAGTTTAGATGAAAATAGACAATAAGTAAATTTTTCCACATTCTGAACATTTTCTCTAAGTCGCCACCGGCAGATCACTATTGCTATGTCGAGCTTTCTGAAACAAAAAAAAGATGTGGTATGATTGATACTACTCTCCAGCAGAGGCCAAATGAATTAGAAGGTTAGCATCTATAGGTCACTGTTACATATAATGACCTTCAACAATGGGCAAAGCTCAAAAGCAAGCTTTAAACGTCATCGAAATGAAAAAATGTAAAAGAATTTAAATGAGAAAACTTATTTTCATCATCAGCATTACAGTAACCTTCATACTAAAAGTATAATATAAGTGTATGATGTTAAATTTTAAAATTTAATTTAAAAAATAATATTTATATGCTCGACATAAACCAAAACACAAAAACTGAATTTTAACCACTGAACTATTAAAATGAAGTCAAGGTCAGATGGCACCTGCCAATTGCAGCAATTTTTCCATTTGTAAAGGGGCATAACTCTAGAACAGCAAAAGTGATGCCACCAACCTTCAAACTCAATCTGTGTTTTGTAGTCGTTAGCATTGTGTATAAGATTCATTACATTTTTTTGAGGCAAACTAAAGTCACGAGAACTGAAACAAAAATTCAGCAATATTCCATTTGTAAAGGGGCATAACTCTAGAACAATAAAAGTTACCCCACCAAAATTCAAACTTTATTTGTGTTTTGTTGTAATAAGCATTGTTTATAGTTTCATAATATTTGGTTGAGGCAATCTTAAGTTAGAGAAAGGAAACCAATTTTGGGGCATACCAACAGATGGACGGAAGAACAAGGGTAAAACTTAATGCCCCCCTGATACGGTGAGGGCATTTGACGCTAACAGTAGTGAAAAAGATACGTTTGATGCTTGACAAAAATTGCCATTCCTACCCTTATTACTATACTATATATAAAAATATTAATTTTCGCGAACCATTTAGGTCACGGAAATTCCAAAAAATCCCTAGAGTAAGGAGAGTTGTACAGATAATGTGAATACACAGAACCCCGATCCAATTCATCTTTTGCTAAAAGTGTTCGTCATTTTCTGTTTTGTATCTACTAACAACCTTCCATTTTTCAATAATTCCTATTTAAGTGTGCAAAAAAACTGCATTAAAAATAGATATTCCCAAAGTTAAAATTCCGCTGATTGGTTGAACTACTGCTAAGATTCACAAACCTAAACTATAAATACATTTCCTCCTTTAAAATGTAATTCCTAAGTGAAGCTACTGTAAAGGTAATATATTAATCCTGATGTAATCTTCAATATTAAATGAAGCTGAAACTGTATATCAGTAGAAGAGAAGACAATGATAGATTGTTAAATGAACGTCTATATAATGTTGTTACATAAAATGCGATATTGAGTAAGGATCTATCCCGCCATAAAAAAAATCCATTGAAAACAGAGAATATAATCTTTTTGTTTTCAGAAATTCCGTTGAGCATTATTTACATTTAATTTGTATTGTATTTGGGTGCTGTTGACCTTTGTCTTTGAGAGCGCGGTAAGTAACAATCCCATTTCTTAGAAATGTAGACAATGGACAAAAATGTGAACCTTGACGATATGGGTCACTGACTTTTTTCTCTGATTTTTAATACTAGTATCTAACCATTTCATAATTTCCGAATTATCTGTATTTACAATATTTTTGTATTTAACGTGTAATCATGAACATATCTTCAATTTGTTTCAAGTTTATACACGATAAATGGCTATATATGATGATGAAGAATTTGTATGCACACAAGATGGTGGAAAATGAATCTGACATCACTGTACAATCACTTGACATTATTATTTGTAAACAAACGTCGAAAAGAACATGTGTCGTATAATTTCCATATCATTCCAAATTTTGGATTATTTTTACAGATTTTGCAAAAAAATACTGGATTTCCACCTATTTGTCTATCCAAATTTTTGTCTTGAACTAATATGTCCATGAAACTTATTCAATAGACAATACAAAATCAGCAACACATTGAAAATATTATTTCAACAAACATGTTCAATACTTGAAAAAAAATACATGCAGTGAAATTTTTTGGTTAAAATACATTATGGTTGGATATAATTTCTGTATAAATATGCTTTTGGTTGCATATAATTTCTGTATAAATGCTTTTTCCCTTCATAATAGTATTACAAAATGTACATGTATGACAGTATGTATTCTATAAAGTACATGTATTTTTAAAATGCACATTGAGTGGTCCCAAGTAAGGAGTATTATGTTTGTAACACTCAGAAACGTGATGTCTATCCCCCAAACATGTCCTTTGTATGATAATGAACAATAAAACGCTAAGTATGAAGCCAAAACGTATCCCTGCACTATTAAAGTTCATCAAGTGTCTTCGTGATCGTCAAGATGAACTAGAAATAAATAATGTTTGTTCCAAAAGGTACTTAATAACATTTGTGTCATTTCTCTAATGACAGAAGTGCTGATTATCAATTATAAGCATTTAATTTGCGAAAATGATTCGCTGCATTGAAGACCCATTGGTGGCCTTTGGCTGTTATCTGCTCTTTGGTCGGGTTGTTGTCTCTTTGACATATTCCCCATTTTCATTCTCAATTTTATTTTTTACAGAGATTATCTTTAGTGCCGTGTGGAGACAGTAGAGTGCCTCCCCATGTTTCAGGTTTATGCTATTATAATATACTAGATAATGGAGTGTGTGTCTGAGCAAGAACATCTCTATGTTCATTACTTTAGGAATATTTATTTAAAACACAGATTTCACTATTCAGCCCCATTAGGGGCCAGCTGAGGCCCACCTCTGGGTGGGGGATTTTCTAGCTGCATTGAAGACCCATTGGTGGCCTTCCGCTGCTATCTGCTCTTTGGTCGGGTTGTTGTCTCTTTGACGTATTCCCCATTTCTATTTCCAATTTAATTTTTACAGAGTTTGTCTTTAGTGCTGTGTGGAGACAGTAGGGTGCCTCTCCGTGCTTCAGGTTTATGCTATTATAATATACTAGATAATGAAGTGTGTGTCTGAGCGAGAACATCTCTATGTTCAT